CACTGCATTAATGCATGAGAAGCTGAGGCCGATTAAATATTCGTGGAATAGGGAATATTAAGCTAATTCATTTCTTAAAGGGCACAAATAATTTTTTCTCCTATCGTTTTTAAAGGAGCAAATAAGACACTTTAATTTGTAAATAAACAAAGGTCAAACTAGAAAATTGAAAAAAATCAACATACACTTATAGACGTCACATAACATGAAATTACTTAATTTTGGTTTCTGTGAGATTCTAGAAAATCATATTAAAAGATGACATCCAAACTCTCTTCCCGAACTCAAAAATCTCATGATTAGAAAGGAAAAAAATAAATAAACAAAAACAGAACAACAATGCAGATACTTATACCATAACTTTCAACCTTTAAATAGGACAGATGCCACTTCCAGGTCAGAGTTGACCTGATCTTGAATATTTTTACTATCCTCTTCATTTAGGGACTTCACAAATCGAGAACACACGTTCATATCAAATCGGTTAGGTAATATGAATTTCATTCCCATGGCAACACCCTGAGCTGATCCTTCCTCCGCATTTGAGTCCAGCTGATGTTCTATTTTGATGTCTGGCATGCCAGGTAGACTGTAACTGCTGGGACACTCTTCCACTATCAGCTGGGCTCCGATATCCAGATTTGTCGACGTAGCCATGATTCCAACTGTAGTTTCAATGATTAAAACATTCCTTCATGATTTCCTCTTTGTTTTATAGGAGTGGTACCCAGTGTGTTCTTGGAATTTAGATACTGAAAAACCTGAAAGAAAAAAATTAAAATATTATATCAACTTAGGTAAAAGTACATAAAATAATAATTGTTCAATCAAGTATGCTAACAGTGCTCCTAAAAGCCCCTATACATAACAGTAAGCATACAGTGTTGGGAGGCAGACACCTGGCTATGAATTCAAGCTTTACCACTTGGCTGTGTGAACCCGTACATTACTCAACCTCTCTAAGCCTCAGTCTCATTTGTAAAATGGGGGTATCACCATTAATCACATAGGATCTTGGTAAAGACCAAATGAAATACAGGAACATTCTCACCTTCATCACTAGGTTCCAACAAATTTTACTCTTTAGTCTCCTTTCCGATTCCTGAACAGTACCAAATGGACAGAAGATCAAGCTAGCAATGAAAATAAACTTTCATGGTCTTTCACCAAGTTAGCACATACCAAAAAGGTGGCAGCTATGAACCATGAAGAGGGCCTACATCAGAGCACAACCATACTGGCACCTTGATCTTGGACTTCCCAGCCTCCAGAACTACCCAAAGTTCCGGCTACAGGAGAAGCCCAGAGAGGGGTGGGAGGCACTTCATCAAGATGCAAAGAAGCTAGCTCCTGTTGGGAGAAAACATTGTAAAAAATTCTCAATAGCATCTTTCTCTCTTTTAAAATCTGGACATTTGTTATTGTCATAGTTCAAGTGAGTGACTTTTTAATTGACTGATAGATCACTTAAGCAATCTTCTAAATTTATTTATTTATTTATTATATTTTTAAAATGCTTATTTATTTGAGAGAGAGAAGGAATGAGAGAGGAAGGGCCAGAGAAAGGGCGAAAGAGAATACGAAGCAGGCTCCATGCTGACAACTTAAACGAGTGAGCTACCCAGTTGCCCCAAACCGCCTTCTAATTTTAAAGTGCCAAGACTTCATTCCATAAACTAAAACATATAAAACATTAAAAAATGAATTGATGTGAAAACTTTAACCTCTTACCTGTACTTCATTTTTTAACATACTATGTTTATAAGTGGCTCTCAGTTTGAATTTAAGATAGAACTCATATTGTACCCATGTCTATTAGCATCTATAACACCTGATTCTTGGATAGTTAAAGGCTTCACAAAGCTTTGGTTATGATGATCTGAAGCTATACTTATTTATCAGTTTTTGTTTAGTTAAAAATGTTAGCAACTTAATACAGGCTTTTATGAAAACTGTTACTACAGAAACTGTAGATTACAGATCAGCTTCCTTTGCTTTATCATTTCTAGGGCACTAGGATCAAACTTTAACTTTTAGATCTCTATTTTTGTAGTAAGTATTAAGAAATAAAAATTAAGTCTTTTTAATTTTTTTAATGTTTATTTTGACAGAGAGAAAGAGCTCAAGCAGGGGAGAGGCAGAGAGAAAGAGAGAGAAAGAACCCTAAGCAGACTCCACAGTGCCAGTGGAGCGTCTGATGCAGGGCTTGAACTCACAAGCTGTGAGATCATGACCTGGGCTGAAATCAAGAGTCAGACCCTTAACCAACTTAGCTACCCAGGAACCCCAGGAATTAAGTATTAATAAAAACTACAGATTTTTATTTTCAAATATAGAGCATCAAGACACGAATTCAATAAATAGTAACTCTCAAAGCAGATTATAAACACACCTGTTATTGAATCACTCACTATAATTTTATTTTATTTTTTAATATTTTTATTTATTTCTAGGAGAGAGAGAGAGAGAGACAGTGTGAGCAGGGGAGGGTCAGAGAGAGAGGGAGACACAGACTCTGAAACAGGCTCCAGGCTCTGAGCTGGCTGTCAGCACAGAGCCCGACGCGGGGCTCGAACCCACGAACCGCGAGATCATGATCTAAGCGAAAAGTCGGACGCTTAACCGACTAAGCCACCCAGGCGCCCCTGAATCATTCACTATAATTTTAATGAGTTTTCAGTAATCACTGGCATTTCCCTGTGAACCTTAATATAATTTCAAGAGAAATTTCATTAATGTACCTAAAAATGTTTCTAAAAAATGAAAAATTCCAAGATTATAATTGTCCTCTGTATATAATCCCTGATACAGGAAGACAATTACAACATCTAGTAAATCTTTTCATGTTAGGGTTTAGCACTTAGAAATTTTGAGAGGGTAGAGGGTGTTTGAAATTGGAATTTAGAAAGAGAAATGCATTCAGACCACAGTGGAGCAGAGGCTGGGAAACCATAGGTTACAGATAACCACTGTTTACAGTTCTAAAACATCTTCCAAGATTGGTATCAGTCCTTTGAGTAGTGAGGGTAGTTATTTCCTATGTAGAGAAGAAAGGAGCTTATGTACCACGAAGGATCTGTCTAGCTCTTTGGACTGCATCACCCTGAACACTAAAATAAGGAGCTAATCCGAACTTCCAAGGGACAAGAGCTGAAAGAATAACAGGCATAGTAATAATAATAAAAGAAAGTAACAGACAACAAAGTCTATGAATTTTAGCAAAAGGAAAGAAGGCAACCAGAATGGAAAATGAGCTGTGATTCAAATGGAGATGGAAGGCTTTCAAAAGGTATTGTAGGATATGAACTACGCTTCCCGAGGGCAGACCCATCTCCCACAGACTTCCTACGAGAGCAAGTCTAAATGCAATCCCCTGAGCTCTCTCAGCACACTACGTTTATTTTCATTTTGGCATTTACCATTCTCTTGAACATTTCCACTTAAACTCCCAAGAAACTGAAAACTTCTCTAGGCTGGGCGCCACTTTTACTAATCTTTGCACACAAAACGGAGCTGGATCCTACCAGGTGCTCCAGCAATGTTATCTGATTTGAACTTTAGCACTGTTTCACATTGTTTCTTATCCTGAAATGACCCTGCAAGATGCCCAGCAGGGGCTTGGTAATTAGCTCTGGCTTTCCGGTCTCAATATTACTCCTATCCAGCTGTGCAATCCGGGAAAGACAAGTCATATACGTTTTCTGAGACTCCTTTTATTAATCTACACAATGAAGATGGCTAAAATAGGGATCTCTAATATTTCTTCTAGCTCTAAACATCTCCCATGTCATAATATAGACGCGGAATTACCCGTCTTTGAGGGGGAAAACTTGTGCGAGGAGGAAGCGAAAACAGAACACTGGTCCTGAATACGCTAGAGATGAGCCAAATTGATTGGTTAAACTAAGAGTCTGAAGACTTGGAGAAGGAGAAGGGAAAATATAATCGAGAGTAAGAGGCGGCGAGAAAAAGACGGATGGCCAAGGAGAACTAGGATTACCACGATGAGCCAGAGCCCAGGGATGAAGGGAGAAAGCCTAATGAGATACACAGTCCGCCGTGGATCCTAGTAACAGGTGCCCCTTGGTTCTTCCTACTCCTGAAACTGTACTACAAGGAAAGGAAGGTGCTGGGGCGCCTGGGTGGCTTAGTCGGTTGAGCGTCCGACTTTCGCTTAGGTCATGATCTCGCGGTTCGTGGGTTCGAGCCCCGCGTCGGGCTCTGTGCTGACAGCCAGCTCAGAGCCTGGAGCCTGTTTCAGTCTGTGACTCCCTCTCTCTCTGACCCTCCCCTGCTCACGCTCTCTCTCTCTCTCTCTCCTAGAAATAAATAAAAAATATTAAAAAAAAAAGACAAAAATAAAAACAAAAAAAAATGAAGGAAGGTGCTCTGAAAATGAATGACACCTCACAGGCGACAGGTGTCCCAGCGTCCCAGGACAGAAGCCCCGTGGAGGGGACACTTGTAGGGAGGGAAGTCCGCTCGGGAGCCACCCGCCAGCTCTGCCCGAAAAGTCCCGTAGGCGGAAACTCTGGTTCACCCCTGGCAGGAGGGACAGGGGGACAGGGGCCGGGAGCCTACTGGGTGGGCGCGCAGGGCCTCGCGACTACCTTCGACAGCCGACAGCGAGTCGGGCCTTTCCATCTGCGGCCACAGATTCACTGCAGGCCCCCAAACCCCGGCTTGTTTTGACCGCGACGTCACTTCCGATTTCTTCTTTCGGTTTTTGGCCAAAAAACGTTCCGCGTCACCGCAGCCAAGAGGACTTCCAGGTTTTTTTCCCCAGCCGCTGCGCAGTCTTTGCTGCCCAAGCACCAGAGATACTGGGTCACTTGAGCAGGACCCGACTGGGTCTCTAGAGCAACCCTCGTCCAGCCCTGGGATCACGTCTCCTCCTCCCCCACGGCTCCGCCCTCCTGACCCGCCCCTGCGGCTCCCCGGCTGCGTAAGTCACGTCGGCCTACGCCCTTACGTCATTTTAGTGCGACCGGCCAGGTAGTTCTGCCCTCGCTGTGTCTCGGCAGCTCCCTGTAGGGTCCGCGTGATCTTCCGCAAGTGAGCCTCCGTAGTCTGGGCAGGAGCTGGCGGAATCCGAGAAATTTTCCTTGGACACAAAGTGTCCCTGCGGACCCGCTGGGCCTGTTAGAGGTAGGTGAAGGCGGCTCCTGGTGGGCGCAGTCCGGACTCATGTTGGGCCTTTTTTTGGTATCTCGCATGCTCCTCTGGGGCTTCCCAGTCTTCGCAGACCGGCTAAAACTCCTTAACCAGCCTCTCGGGATCCCCGCGGCTTAGCTTCGACCCGGATTTGCCTCCTCTGCGATCACATTCTCCCCTGTGCACCGTTGTTAACCCTCATCCCTCTGAGGCAGCGGGCAGATTTCCATCTCTGCCTTTGCTCATGCTTTTCCCTCGGTTTCGAATGCTGCCCTCGCCCCGTGCCCAGCTTAAGAGGTCCGTCGGCTTTAATGTTATACGTCAAGGCCGAGCTGAAATGCACATTGTGAGTCTTTCTGGGAGCCTCCCGGTTAGAATTAAAAATCGTTTTAGAGCTCTTAGTACTCCGTACGTTATTTATAGCATATCGTTATACTGCGTTGTATTGTGGTATAGTACTTGTTATTCATTTAGTTCCAGTTTCTCAGGCTCAGACCTCTTCCTGATCATTTTCTTCGTATTCATTTTCACTTCACATTTTGCCTGCATGCCTTTGTATTGTGTCGTGTTCCCCCCTCCGTCTCCTCCAGTGCTGTGTCTCACTTTAATCTGGCAAACCACCGCTACTATTCCTTACTCCCCACTTGTAAACTTTTTTTTTAAAAAAGTTTTTTTTTTAAACATTTACTCATTTTTGAGAGACAGAGACAAAGCATGAACAGGTGACGGGCAGAGAGAGAGGGAGAGACAGATTCCGAAGCAGGCTCCAGGCTCTGAGCTGTCAGCACAGAGTCCAATGTGAGGCTTGAACTCACGAACCACGAGATCATGACCTGAGCTGAAGTCAGACGCTCAAACCACTAGGGCCACCCAGATGCCCCTTCACTTGTAAACTTTTAAAGCTTTACGCCGTTTCTTTCAAGGCAGGGTTATGTACTCCTTTGCCCCTATTCTAGTAAGGGCTGGTTTTGCCTGTATACTAGTAAGGGAAGGAGCACTCAGGCTGGACCTGGAAGGGTGATGGTTCCTTTTTGGCAGCCAGTGAGCCTAGAATTGTTTTACAGGTAACTGTTTGCAGTCTCTTTGATGATAGGAGACACATTGAACCCGAAGTGGGTAAAATGTTATTCCCTGCTTCCACAAATCTCATTCTTTTAATTTATAAACATAAAATTGTACTCATAATTTTCTGGAGGGGGTTGTTAGTAAAAAATTGGGATTTTTTTTTTTCCCCTTGGTTACTTTCTTGCAACAGCATGATATTCTCCATTTTGCCTGTTGGGAAGCAAAGCTTAAGATACTTATCATCTGGCTCCTTACAGAGAAAGTTTGTTGACTCTTGCCGTGTAGCAATGTTCATATTACAGACACCACTTGTGATTTCAGTTTTGTGTTCTCCCATACAATCCAGCACAGTGCTTCCTTTATTTCCCTCCACAGGTTTTCTTTGAGCACTTAGAAAAAGTCTTCCAGGTACAAAATGTTCAGTTTAGTGGGAAAAAGAGATCATTACAAATGCAATTTTACCATGATTAGTGACAGAAATACGCAAAGTGAAGTTTTCCCTCTTGGTGTTTCTAAGGCTTTCAGGAAGTCAAGATCCTAGACTGTGTTCCTATAGATTAAATGTTATCTTAAATTTGGTTTCAGGAAACTTTTGTATTTGTAGTTTCACCTTCATGTTTTCTGTTGTTAGGAACTAAACAGTTCAATCCAATGTACTTCCGCTTTGACTACTGGATGAGATGGTTGAGCCAGATTGATTTCCAGGTGTTGTAAATTGGTTAGTTAGATGTGACAGTATTTGTGTACAGCCTCTGTGTATAGCTGAGTAGAGGGTGCACTTTGGTAGCCCTATCTGTATTCCACCTGCTTCCTTTAGATTGTCTCTTCTGTGTTACTGTCTAATGGTTTATTGGTCACTAATCTATAAGCCACCACACAGCCCTTTGAAATGACACAGTGTGTAAATTATACAGGTTTAAGAATAATGTGTATATACAGGGCACCTGGGTGGCTTAGTCGGTTAAGCGTCCGACTTTCGCTTAGATCATGATCTCGTGGTTCGTGGGTTCGAGCCCCGTGTCGGGCTCTGTGCTGACTGACAGCTCAGAGCCTGGAGCCTGTTTCAGTCTGTGACTCCCTCTCTCTCTGACCCTCCCCTGCTCACGCTGTCTCTCTCTCCTAGAAATAAATAAAACATTAAAAAAAATTTAAAAAAAAAGAATAACATGTATATAAAATATTTTCTTTTTCAGACATAGAGCAGAATCACTGTAATTATTTCTAACATCAATTTTAAACTATATATTCCTGGATAACAGCAGTCCAATTATATGAAATTATGGCTGGTTATAAGCCTGTGGCTATTCAAACGTATCCTGTACTTGGTGAAAAAATCACCCAAGACACACTATACTGGAACAACTATAAGGTAAGTGTAGATGGTAATGAGGGGGCTTGTGTTTACGCTCATTTCTCCCACATAGGTTATACTTGGGTACTCTAACAGAGAACTAATAACCAAAAGGAATCTATCACAAGTTTACAGTTTGAGAGCAAAATTTAGTGTGTGATGTTTTTTATTAGAATTCTTTATAAAAGTCCATACGGCTTAATCATTTTAATCATGCAAGTACCTAGCACAGAGTAGATGATTAATGAATGCCAAATGAGTTAAATCTTAGAATTTGAATCTCATGCAAGAAGATTTTTTTTTTGCCTTTTTAAAATAAGGAAAAAGTGATGCAGAATTAGTTCTTCTGGACTATTTATAATAACTTAAAAAAAAAGATGAACAACTAAATAGAAAAATGGAAAAAATTTGGGTTTGGGAGGTTTACGGAACAAGAAATTTAAATGGCCAATAAATACATAAAAGAGCTGCAGCTTAACTCATAATTAAAGAAATGTCAATTACAACAATAATTTGGATACTATTTTTCTTCTATTATAATTGGCACAAATGAAAAATTTTGATCACTGCTGCTTGAGAGAAGAAAGTTGGTGCAGATGTTCTGGAGGGCAGTTTGGCCTTATCCATCATGATAAAAATGGCTTTTGGTCATGTAACGTCCACAATTTGAAATGTACTCAAAGATTACACTCCCCTAAATTTACTGAGATATATGTATATCAATGTTGATTAAAGTATTATTTGTAATACTAGAAATTTTGGAAAAACCTGTGTCACATAGTAGTGGACTGATAAAGTAAATTATGATGTACCCTATGATGGACGGCAAATCTATTGATCGTATGAAAAATTGGCTGAGATATGTTATTAAGTGAAAAGAAGCAAGGTACAGAGCAGCCTGCATGGTGTGATCGTTGTGTCAGTTACAGAATACATGGCTAATTATAGGCTGGCCTAGGCATAACTTTGTGTCCCTAGCAATGATTACGGAAAACTCCACAGTTGAAGACAAAGAGTGGGGTATGGTTTTCCAACCACGTAGTTATTTACCTTCATGACAGCCATGACAGTCTGGATGATGGCATTTGGACCTGTTTTGCTTTTTTCATACTTTTGTATCAGATACAACCTAGTAAAACGTTACTAAGAACAAAGAGAAACCATCTGTAAGAAATTATGTAATGCTTACACAGTCTTACCAGTTGTAACTCTGTTAATACTTTGTATTATTTTTTATTAAGACCCCTGTTCAGATCAAGGAGTTTGGTGCAGTGTCAAAAGTAGACTTTTCTCCACAGCCTCCATATAATTATGCTGTCACAGCTTCCTCAAGGGTAAATATAATATTAAATTTTTCTTTCTTTTGTGTCTTTTTTATTTACTACTGATCTAGAGACATCTGGTTAAGTACTATGTTTTTATCTTTTTGTAGATTCACATTTATGGCCGATATTCTCAAGAACCTATAAAAACCTTTTCCCGATTTAAAGACACAGCATACTGTGCTACTTTTCGTCAGGATGGTAGACTGCTTGTGGCCGGCAGTGAAGATGGTGGAGTTCAGCTTTTTGATATAACTGGGAGAGCTCCCCTCAGGCAGTTCGAAGGCCATACTAAGTAAGAGCCAGTGTTTAAAAATTTAAAAATTTTTTTAAACTGAGGTATAATTAACAAAACATGTTAGCTACAGGTGTATGTTCAATATTTGTGTATGTTGCAGAATAATCATAAGTCTAGTTAACATCTGTCATCATCTGTTACAGACTTGGTTTTTATGTGTTCTTTGTTGTTATGTTGTACGCTTTTTTGTTTTGTTTTTTGGGCTTTGAATGAAAACACAGAGCAGTTCTGTGAAGATTATGTACCCATATATACTTTATTTCATGGTTGTTCTAAGACAGAGGGCATAATCTGGTCCAGTCCTGCGGTCCTGTTTGATGGGGCTCCTGAATTCTGTAGAATTGTATGTGACATTTTAAGAAATGTACATTTATCTGGGAAGATTTCCTGTAGCTTTCATTTAATTTCTCAGTGAGTTCTGTGACCAGTCAAGGTGATAAACCACTGATCTAAAGACACCTCCCAGCTATGAATGAGAACACTATAGGCTGAACTATACTAGAGGTTCTCATTTTGAAGTCAAGATGGAAGGTTGATTTTCTTCTTGATTTTAATATTTTGCTCCTTGATAAATGGTCAGGGCAATTTTGTATTATAACTTTATACCAGGATTACCAATTTCACTTCTGAAATTTGCTACTGATTTAAAAATCTCAAGTGTTTTTTATAATGTATTATCAGGAAGATCTTTTCTCATCAGTGAAACATTAAAATTGAAGTTTATTTATTTATTTTGAGAGAGAGAGAGAGAGAGGGAGAGAATCCCAAGCAGGCTCTGTGCTGTCAGCATAGATCCTGACCCAGGGCTCGATCCCACAAACTGAGATCACGATCTGAGTCGAAATCAGTAGTCGGAAGCTTACATGACTGAACCACCCAGGTGCCCCTGGAAAATTTAAGTGTTTATCCATTTATTTTGAGAGAGAGTGGGTGTGAGTGATCAGGGGAAGGGCAGAGAGAGACAGAGAGAGAGAATCCCAAGCAGGTTCTGATGCTGTCAGTGCTCAACCAACTGAGCCACCCAGGCGCCTGCCGCCCCCCATTTTGAAAGTTTTTAAATTAAAAATACCTTTGCTCCAACATTTAGAACATTTTCTTTTATTGAGCAATTTTGTAGAATTGTTAACACTTAGAAAATAAATTTTAAGGCTTTTGTTGAATATTATTAATTTCATAGTGTATGGGATGTTTAAATTTTTAAATTGCCTTAGGGACAGACATCTATTTTAAAGATTTTTCTCTCATGATTTCCCACTACAATTACTCCCTGAAACTGAGCTGCTTTTTTGTTATTTGGGGAAAAAGAGTTTTATGTTTTATGTTAGTTTTATCTTGCTTTTTAATATATTGACCCTTGATTTTTTTTTTTTTTTTTTAGAGCAGTTCATACGGTTGATTTTACAGCTGACAAATACCATGTGGTGTCTGGGGCTGATGATTATACGGTTAGGTTGTGGGATATTCCAAACTCCAAAGAGATTCTGACATTCAGAGAGCATTCTGATTACGTGAGGTGTGGATGTGCTAGCAAACTGAACCCAGACCTCTTTGTGACAGGTTGGTGAATCCTTTTTCCCTCCTGAAGTTGATAATTTTATTGTGACATAATTTGATACTGCTTTGGGACTCTTTTGGAATAGAGCAATTTAAAATTTTTTATAAAGGAATATATTTCTGTTTATCCATTTCTTCTCTTTTTCATCTTTTGATGATTGTTCTTAATGTCTTCCAAGTGTGTTTGGAAACAAGGCTTCCCTGAAAACCTGAGTGTCGGAACTCTGGTTTGGTACTCTGGTTTTCACAGAGCCTCCAAGCAGCCAAGAAACGAAGATAATGCAGTCCAGTCTTGGCGGGTGTCTGTGCAGGGGTTCCCAGATGATTGAGTAGTGGCAGTAATTTGAAGATAGCAATAGTTTAAGATCCTGTATGATATGGAATGGGGCAGCATAATGCTTTTTCAGAAATAATCATTGGTACCAGAGAGTATGTAGGTGTGATCTCATCTTGAACATGTGTGTGTGTCTTTAAGTTTTGTCTCAGCCCTTTCTCCTTTTCAAATTTGTTTGAATACATACACATATATTTAGTTTTTGTTGTTTTGAGTAATGAAACTCACATAATACAAAAACTGGCATTTTAGGGTCATATGATCATACCCTGAAGATGTTTGATGCACGAACAAACAAGAGCGTGATCTCTGTTGAGCATGGGCAGCCAGTGGAGAGTGTCCTGCTTTTTCCCTCTGGAGGTCTTCTGGTATCAGCAGGTACCTTAAAAATTGCTTTTACTGATATTGTGTGTCTTGAATCAGTCATGTCTTTATCAGTTACTTTTTTTTTAATCACTTTTTATAATTTAACATTGTGCTCTAGAATTACATACCTAGGTTTTGTTCAGTGGATAAACAGGACAGGCGAGCACTTATTATTATTTATTGATTACCTAATGTGAGCCAGATACTGTGCTATTATATGCATACCATCGAGCCTAGAAGTGAGTTAGTTTTCTCCCTATTTTGCAACTAAGGAAATATATAAAAGTTTTTAAACTAATTTGTTCAAGATAGAGTGGCAGATCTGAAATCCCAGAACTTGAGAGCCTGCGTTGTGTATATACGAGAGAAATCCAGGTTGTATGCCTGTTATTCCTACCTAAGAGATCTTTGGCAGCTTTCGAAAACACAGTTCTTTCAATTCTAGGATCAGGCTTGTCTCTTTTTTTTTTTTTTTTTTTTTTTAAATATTTTTATTTATTTCTAGGAGAGAGAGAGACAGCGTGAGCAGGGGAGGGTCAGAGAGAGAGGGAGTCACAGACTGAAACAGGCTCCAGGCTCTGAGCTGGCAGTCAGCACAGAGCCCGNGAACCCACGAACCGCGAGATCATGACCTAAGCGAAAGTCGGACGCTTAACCGACTAAGCCACCCAGGCGCCCCAGGCTTGTCTCTTTTTATGTCTCTTTTGATTGAAGTGACTTTATGCAGCAAGTAGCCAGTAGTTCTGGAGGAGGATATAATGTGGAGTCAGAAGGGGTTTTGATACGTTTTTCATCAAGCTGAAACAGGTATTTTTTTGTGATGTTGATCCTAGAGCTTTTTTTTTCTTTTAAAAATTTTTTAAAATGTTTTATTTATTTCTGAGAGAGAGAGAGAGACAGCATGAGCAGGGGAGGGTCAGAGAGAGAGGGAGACATAGAATCTGAAACAGGCTCCAGGCTCTGAGCTGTCAGCACAGAGCCCGACACGGGGCTCGAACCCACGAACCGTGAGATCATGACCTGAGCTGAAGTCAGACGCTTAGCTGACTGAGCCACCCAGGCGCCCCTCCTAGAGCATTTTCAAAATTAGAATGGAAGAAATAAATTAGCTTCTTTAGTTTATCAAGTCAAAATTAATGTGTTGACATTACAACAAAGGTAGTGTGTATAGCACGTATATGGCTTTGTGTATAGAATTTTTGTCTTAATTCTAAAACCCAAATAGAAATTACCCTGTTTTGTACTTCTTCTCCAGTACCTATGTAATTTCAAAATAAATTGATAACATTGTCAGATGTATCCATTTGTCTTGGTGTTATTTTGAGAAATGGAAATAAGTTCAAGCGAGAATGGACACCTGTATGCTAATCTCCACTGTGTCACCAGCTAATTGTATGAACTTGGGCAATCTCTTAACTCCTGTAGACTTTGAAATGGAGTTTGGATGGGATCCATTCTTTAAACTGTGCTCTCTCATGAGCTGCCACACATGGTGAGACAGGGACTATGAATTGGCTTACAGGCCCAGTTTCCCAGTCAGGATACAGAAGACCTTTGTTCCCCCTTCTCCAACTTGTTCTTCAGTTTTACCTTCTAGATTTTTGTTTAATTTTTCATTGGAATAAAATTTGCCATAGTAAAAGAATTCTTTTTATTATTATTATTTTTTAATTTTAATTTTTTTACATTTATTTATTTTTGAGGGACAGAGAGAGAGTGAGAGTTAGGGAGGGGCAGAGAGAGAGGGAGACACAGAATCTGAAGTGGGCTCCAGGCTCTGAGCTGTCAGCATGAACCATGAGATCATGACCTGAGCCAAAGTCAGACGTCTAGCCGACTGAGCCACCCAGACACCCCAAAAAGAATTCTTTTTAAACTGTTGGATTAAATTGCCTTTAAGGACCCTTCTAACTCTTAGAGTAGAAGTTATAGGGAAATTTTTCAGTTTTGTTGAGATTCACAGACTTTTGAGGAAATAAAAGTATATTATTCATTTCCATAGTGACATGTTTCTTTTGCAAAACGATTTTATTACAATTTTCTTAAAATGCTTTTTGGTTATACTTTTTATTTTGCGGGTGGTTCTGTGAACTTTACAAATATGCAATAATTTAATCATTGTAACAGTTCTTTGTGGTAGGAACCATTGTTCTATGTGGTAGGAACCTCATTGTAACCACTGAGTTACAAGCTCAGTGAGTGACAGAGCCAGCGTGGAGACCAGGCGGTTTGGCAGAGCCCCTCACCTCACCTCCAGGCCATGCAGTGTCCAGGAAAGAGTGCTTTTCAGATCTTTTAAATATTGAATGTATAGGCAGAATTTCAAACTAATGATTCTTTCTCTCTCTAGGAGGTCGTTATGTTAAAATCTGGGACATTCTGAAAGGAGGACAGTTGCTAGTGTCTTTGAAAAATCATCATAAAACTGTGACGTGTTTGTATCTGAGCAGCTCTGGACAGAGGTTACTCTCGGGGTCACTGGATAGGTTAGCATTTTAATTTTCTTTCCTTATTATTGCTATTGTACACGTATTTACTACCTGAGGAAATGAGGTATTTCTGCATTATTTGTGATGAAATAAATGTTCTGTCAGATGATTTCTATGAAAAAAATCTATTGAGTTGAAAATAGTTTTGACCTGGGGCGCCTGGGTGGCTCAGTCGGTTAAGCGTCCGGCTTCAGCTCAGGTCATGATCTCATGGTTTGTGGGTTCGAGCCCCGCATCGGGCTCTGTGCTGACAGCCAGCTCAGAGCCTGGAGCCTGCTTTGGATTCCGTGTTTCCCTCTCTCTCTGACCCTCCCCTGCTCACGCGGTCTCTCTCTCTCAGAAATAAATAAAAACATTAAAAAGAATTAAAAAAAAAAAGAAAAGAAAATAGTTTTGACCTTTTATTTATAGTACAATAAACTTATTTTCTCACTTGACATAATTTAGTGCTTTAACTTGCATACTTAAGGAATTTTATTGAACCATTTGAACATTAGTCTATTAAAAAAGTCCATTGTTCTGTGGTTTCTTTAAAAAAATCCTTATTATATGTTAGTATATTTTAAAATATTTATTATGAGTATATGTATATATTTTAGTTTATATTCTTCAAAAGTTGAAACTGCACATGAAGATTTCTATACTTCAATGTGATTCATATACTCCTTTTTTATATAGGTATTAGTATTCCATTAGTTAATGGTCTAGAACAGTGCTGGCCAACACATAAGATGGGGGTTACATACGTAATTTTAAATATTTTAGTAGCCACAAAAAGGCAAAAAGAACTAGGTAAAATTAAGAATATATTTCATTTCTGGGGCACCTGGGTGGCTTAGTTGGTTAAGTGCCCAACTTTGGCTCAGGTCATGATCTCACAGTTCGTGGGTTCAAGCCCCACATCGGGCTCTGTGCTGACAGCCAGTTCAGAGCCTGGAGCCTGTTTCAGATTCTGTGTCTCCCTCTCTCTCTGACCCTCCCCGCTCACACTCTCTCTCTCTCTCAGAAATAAATAAAACATTAAAAAAAACTTAAAAAATATATATTTCATTTAGTTCAGTGTATCTAAAGTATTATTTCAACATGTAATCAGTGTAAAAATTATCGAGAGACTGGAGACAAATTAAGCATCCAATATGTGCCCTATGATATGGTAATAATTTATAGTGATTAAAGTTAAATACAGTTTCGTTTAACAGAAAAATATTCTAATACTGCCTCAGTTTTAAAAGTAAAATTCAAGTTAATTAAAATCAAGTAAAATAGAAAATTTGGTTCTTCATTTTGATAACCACCTTTCAGGTGCTCAGTCGCATGTGGCTAGAACTGTGGCACAGTTCTCGTAGTGACTTATATTCATTTGATTTTGGCCATTTTGTTTCCATATTTCCTATTTTAACTATTATGGAAAGTCTTGGTTTTTCAGTAAGTTTATGAAAAAGTATACATATTTTAAAACTAGGAAACATCTTTAACACAAAGGAATTTATTATGTAAACACCCAGCAGATTCTCTGAAATGACGTTACTAGGTAATTTGGGACTTGAGTTAAAAATTATTTTTAATGTTTGTTTAGTTTTGAGAGAGAGAAAGCGCGTGCGTGCGCATGCAAGTGGGGGAGGGGCAGAGAGAGAGGGAGACGCAGAACGGGAAGCAGAGCCCGATGTGGGGCTAAAACTCATGGACTGTGAGATAATTACCTGAGCTTAGGTGGGGGACGCTTAACCACTTGAGCCACCCAGGTGCCCCAGGGACTCACGTTTTGATGTGTCCCTCAGAAATCAAGTGTGCGTTGGCTCTGTTCACAGTAGTTCTGAGCCCACAGTGACAGTGTCTCCCAGAGGATGTACAGTAGCAGCTGGAGACCCTTGTGCTTGCTGGCACCAGTTGGGAGTGGAGAGCTTGGCCTGCAGTGGGTGTGGTCCAGGATGCTGCTGAGCATGTGCAGTGCACAGAGCAGCCCCCACAGCAACGCCTCACCTGGCCCGTAGTGTAAATCCTGCTAACCCTGAGAAACCCTGCTTTTTGACTTCCAGTGGGCTTAATACTTCTTCTTTACTCTCAGGTTTCATCTTCAGGCGACCTTGGTTCCTGGTCTCTCCTTCTGGTGGCTACTCAGGTCTTTATGCAGACATTGCTAGTGCTAGTACACAGCTCCTTGTTAAGAGATTCAGTGATGAATTAGTTTGCAGTTAGTATTATGGATCGTTATTTTCCTTCATTGATGTGTAAAATTTAATATTTGTATATTGAATTTCTAAAAAATAAAAATTTGCATTTTATACTCATTTCCAAGGTGATTTATGACAAACCTTTCCTTTTTATTAGGAAGGTGAAAATATATAGCACGACTTCCTATAAAGTGGTCCACAGTTTTGATTATGCAGCTTCAATTTTGAGTCTTGCACTTTCAGTAAGTACTTTCAGCCCTTTTTAAAGCTTTCACTAACTTTGTCTCTTCAGTGAAACTGAAATGGAATGTACTTTGTATTTGAGTAAATCTAATTTTCTTCTTGCCACATGAAATAGTTAAGGCAGTTGCTATTATATTATATGACTTGTCCCAATAATTTAGTATGAATTGAGTTTTAGGTCTTGCTCGCCATATAGCTTTAAACCAAGTACAGCTGTAGGCATTGTTAACACTAAAGACAGGATCTGGGAAATTGATGAATCTCTTTTCAACACGTTTAACTTAGGGTTTAAAGTCACATTGGCTCTCTGAGGGGGAAAAAAATGAAAGGGGATAACAAAGTGAACCTCCTTGTCATTGTTGACTGCTCTTTCTGGAATGTCCGCTGTCAAGTTTCATGAGCCATGGAAGAAGTGGGTATTTGAATACATCATATAGAAATCTGAATTAATTAGGAGAGGACAAGTTTATCACAAAATGTTTTCTTGGCAAGATTGTGGAAAGTCATGCCATCGCACAATGCTTTTTCTAGTAAGAGGATGTAGGAAAAAAATTATTTTAAAAGTTCCCCAAGATGTCATTGACTCTTTATTGTTATACAAAGTGCCAGTGATAATTTACACCGGACATAACATGTACTGTCAGTAAAATCGTATCCTGGAAGAAAAAGTGATTTGTTCTATCTTTTTGCATAGTTAGGCAGAGTAATTCTATCCGAATAGAACTCTTGTGAAAGTATGGATAAGCGGAAAACACTTATAAATGGTGTTTTGAAGAGAAAGTAAGATAAATGATGGGTTAGGAATAGACTAACTTCTATTTCTAATTGCTTTTAGCATGAAGATGAGACAATAGTTGTAGGAATGACCAATGGAATACTAAGTGTTAAACATCGGAAATCTGAAGCAAAGAAGGATTCTCTTCCCAGGAGAAGAAGGCCTGCATATCGAACTTTTATTAAAGGAAAAAATTACATGAAGCAACGGGTATTTGTATATTTCTTACATTTTTTAGAAGGTATAGTTTGTTAGAGCAGTCAACTCCATCCCTGCACATGACTGGAATGTGTAGTTCACATGGCATTTAACTTTATTTTGCTCTTCTCTAAATTAGCTTTCTCTCCAGATTGTTAGATTGGGGACATTATTAATAAGTAGTGGGGAATAACGACTTCTTTGATATCCAGAATCATAATAATGTTACAGTATTTTACCATAGTCAAGAACAGTGTCTTTCATACACTACCTGATTTGATCTCCTAAACAACCCTGAACAGTAGTAGAGCCAGTTATGTCCCCATTTGGATCAGAGAAGATGGAGATACAAAGAAGTTACAGTCAATCCAGCATTTCATTACTGATAACCAGAGTTGTTGGGGCTAGATCTGTTTCTCACATTCCTGTTTTCTTTTTCTACTAAGTCACACAGCCTGCCATGTAAAAAGAATTGAAATGAGTAATGTTTGCCCAGAGTGAGGTATTGTGTATATATTTTAAGTTAAATCGTAGGAGAGTTAAGAACACATTGATGTGGCAAAGTATTCCATTTTCAGTTAGTCTGCATTCCTGGCTTATGCTCAGTATTTATTAGATAGTTCAGGGTCATGCTGGTGTAAAAAAATACCACTATGAAAAAACTTCATTTCAATGCAACTCTGTGCAGAAACTGATTTTTCTTTATAAATTTTCTTTGTAATGCAGGATGACATTTTGATCAACAGGCCATCAAAGAAACACCTAGAATTATATGACAGGGATCTGAAAAATTTCCGGGTCTCTAAGGCACTTGACAGAGTCCTTGAGGTGAGTGAGGAGCATGTATACATGTACACAATACGTATGTTGTGTATACATGTGTGTGTTTTACATTTTATTTTTAGTAAAACTTTAGTTTTTTAGAACATTTTTAGGTTCACAGCAAAATTGAGGGAAAGGAACAGAGATTTCCCATATATTCCCTGCCCCCACACATACGTAGCCTCTCCTATTATCACCGTCCCCCACCAGAATGGTACATTAGTTATACTTGATGAACCCGTAAGGAGCATATTTGTAAAAGAATCATTTTATTATTTGCCTTGTGCATTACCATGACTCAAAACTGTAATGATAAAAAACCTATTTAAATTTGGTAACTGTTAGTAAGTTCCAAGACTATGATATTTTGCCCTTGCTGTCTAATCTGCTTATGTTGACTCTGAAAAATTTTCCAGCCCAGTTGTACAATAAAGACACCTGAGATTACAGTTTCCATCATAAAGGAGCTAAATCGAAGAGGAGTCCTTGCAAATGCCCTTGCAGGTCGGGATGAAAAGGAAATCAGTCGTGTTCTTAATTTTTTGATACGGTATGTTTTATGTTTTTGAAGCTATATTTTGCATCTGAAATCCTTCTTTATCTCAAATGAGAGACATTTACTTTGAGATTGACCTTTGAAAAAAACTAATGGATCAATTCAGTAAATCTGTTTTAAGGATTTTTTTGGTAAAGTTTGCATGTTTCAGTAAACAATTTTTGCTTTGTAGGAATCTTTCTCAGCCAAGATTTGCCCCTGTTTTGATCAATGCTGCTGAAATAATTATTGGTAAGTAGTTGTTAAAACTTGAAAAATCCTAGCATGCTTGCAACAATAGAGGTGTCAGATAATGAAATCAAATAGATTACGATATCTTTTTTAAAAATTTTCTTTAATGTTTATTCATTTTTTAAAAAAATTTACATACAAGTTAGTTAGCATATAGTGCTATAAGTAATGTTTACTTATCTTTGAAAGAGAAAGACACAGTGCGAGCAGGGGAGGGGCAGAGAGAGAAGGAGACACAGAACCCAAAGCAGGCTCTAGGCTCTGAGCTGTCAGTACAGAGCCCAACGCAGGGCTTGAACCCACGAACTGTGAAATCATGACCTGAGCTGAAGTTGGACGCTTAACCGACTGAGCCACCCAGGCGCCCCTAATGTTTATTCATTTTTGAGAGAGAGAGAGAGAAACAGTATGTGAGTGGTGGAGGGGCAGAGAGAGAGAGGGAAACACAGAATCTGAAGCAGGCTCCAGGCTCTGAACTGTCAGCACAGAGCCTGAAGTGGGGCTCAAACCCATGAACGGTGAGACCATGACTTGAGCCGAAGTTGGATCCTCAACCAACTGAGCCACCTAGGCGCCCCTCTTGTTTTTATCAGTTCTCCAGTAGAGATTGTCATGAAGAAAACAAACAACAATTGTAAATCAATGTATTTTAAAGGAAGGAAAATGTTTACAGTAGTTTGACTCTGAATTGCAGAGAGTAATTATGATTAAGTAATTTCATCTTAGACATCTACAATGATTATGACTATTTTTTTAATGGGAAAATGAAAGAACCTCTACACTGTACTTTCTGTAATTATTTCTTCTTGAGTACATTTATTCAGTTGGATTGTTTGTTTTCGGTAAATCATTATAAAAGAAGTATAGACTTCTCAGTACTTTCGTAGTTAATATTTTTATACTTTTTCTAAATATTGGCTATTCATTTATTCTTTAGAGAGATACTTATCAATGATGTATTTTATCTCTCTTTCCAGATATATATCTTCCTGTGATTGGTCAGTCACCTGTAGTTGACAAAAAGTTTTTATTACTTCAAGGACTTGTAGAAAAAGAGATTGATTACCAAAGAGAACTGCTAGAAACCTTGGGGATGATGGATATGCTCTTTGCTACTATGACCAAGAAAGAAAGCACTTCTGTGTTGCAGCATGCATCTGATGGATTTCTAGAGAACAAGAAGATGGAGTCATAGTGTCTGCTTCAAGAGACCCGTGAGCGCTCCTACCCTGAAAACAATTTGATTCTCTTAACTATAAGCAAGAGAATCTCTTTGATACATTAAAAAGAACCCCAAAACTGTTCACAGAAGGAGTCTTCTGGAAGAGACTGGAACTATAATTGGAAAATAAGTACCTATTTTAAGACATGGTTTTCCATGTAATACTTTGAATTATTCCATGGCATCTTCTGCTGGAAGATCTCCGTTATTTCGGTCATAGTATATTGTCCACCTTGGACAAATTGATACTAATTTTAATATAGCAAAGTTGTGTATGAACATCTGGCAGGCATTCTGACTCTGGAATGGGCTTCAAGTGAAACCCTGCTAAAGAAACAGTGCTTTATATTGTACTTCTGCCCTGGGAAAACAACAATGACAACAACAACTAATGGCAGCAACAAATAAATTCTCTCTCCCCTCTCATCAGTGCCCTTGGGATTTTCAGGCTTGGCTCCCTCTCCTTGACATCATCCTCATTTATCATAGGTCCCACGTTCTGCCTCTACTGGTAACAGGACTGCCTTTGCTCCAGTTGGGACACATCAGTGGCCAGCTCAGGACAGTTTTGACTCTGAGCTAGTTCGGTATGTATGCAGAGAGTGTGAGGAGGCAGCTCTGGTACCTAACAATTGTATTCTCCATTCCACATACTCTTTTTATTCCTTGAATTGTGACCATCCTAATCAGAACAGGGTCCACAGATCTTCTTGGACCACGTTTTCTTCCTTCTCGATATGTAGTTTTCTACTCAGTTTCCAGCTTGCCTCAGGTCAAAGGAGTGATAAAATTTGCCATTTTTCTTGTAATAATAGCCTTTCAGCTTGTTATATATGTTGGGAGCTTATCTTGTAGCTCCCTACCCTTCTGAAAACCATTTTCTCAGATCTGTATTTATTTTTTTTGTCCGTTCAATTTGCATAATCATCTTGTGCTTTAGAACCCAAGGTAGAGTAGCTTGCTTCAGAAAATAGTTGTATTTTTTTTGAAAGTTCAATGTAAGTCACATTTTTTTATAAAGATATTCTTATTTTCTTCTTGTATTTCTGAGATGTATCAATTCCTGGTGGATAGTCCCTGGCTAGTGAATGCTGGCACACACATTTCACACATTCTGCCTCTCCCTCCTTCTCCTGATTCCTATTCCACCTCACGTGTTAACTATCTGTAAGGGAACATGCCTTAGGTTAGAAGGACCCTTGGTTAAAGGCAGATTCTGTAATGGGAATCTCCTTTTAAAATTTAGTTCTGTGAATTCAGATTATTTTTTAAAGCAAAAAAAATTTCTTGCTTTGGTAAGAGCGTGTGGTCAAAAATAGGGTCAGTTTCCCTTTTATGAATTGATTTATGCAATCATATAGCACACTGGCTTATGAGAAACCAGGAGTTTGCTTCCCTAATTATGAGATTGGATGAGGTCAGAAACTGTCTTCATGTTGAAGAATTAATTTATTTAAATAAATGTATGTAAAAGCTTTTAAAAATACTTGGTAAGTATGCTGGTAGTTTGTGTACTAGTCAAAATGAGAAGATGAAATTCTGTCTAAAACTAGCTGCCATCAAGTGTAACATGTGACAAGGGTTTTCCCATACATTATTTGTTTTTAAATGTTTATTTATTTTGAGAGAGAGAGAGAGAGAGAGAGAACACCAGCAGGGGAGGGGCAGAGAGAGAGGAAGAGAGAGAATCCCAAGCAGGCTCTGCGTTGTCCGCACAGAGCATGGTGTGGGGCTTGATCTCACAGACACTGAGATCATGACCTGAGCTGAAATCATGAGTCGGATGCTTAACTGACTGAGCCACCCAGGTGCCCCTCCATTAAATTACTTTATTCAGTTCTCCTCACAGCCGTCCACTGTCTGTGTTCTCATTTCGTGCTGAATTAGCTATAGTAGTTCACCCACTCTTGAATCCCCCGAGCGTGAGTTCCTCCTCATCCTGGTACTGTGAACTGGCCTATCCTCTGAGGACAAAACTGCTGCTTCCCTTTGAGAGGACTTCACTGAGTGCTGCAGTTCTTAGATGCAGTATACAATGAAGATGAGTTTTTACATTCATTGGGACAAGCTGGTGTTTGTTATTTAAAGTATTTAAACACAATTGGCATATTAGGCATACTATGGTATGTAACATTGGCCTTTGGATTCTACTGTAAAATGCCTAAATGTTTTCAGACTCCTGAATTTCAGTTTAAAAGTACTTTAACATGTTACTAAGCGTGCAAAACTTTTGACACATTCCAGCAAATTTAGGAAGTCACTGTACATTTAATTTATTATGTTTATAAGAGTTAGGTACTTGCAAAAGTTTTGCTTGTTGGGTCAAGCATTTGAAGTGCAATTTTCAAGAAAATCTTTTAAGTGTATAAATGCTGTTAAGTTGTTGAATTTGGATTGTAAATGGGTTTGTTTAAAGAAATTTAAAATTTAGTCTGTTCCACTTAAGTCTACTCTCTCAAACATGAATTAAAGGCCCACTTGAAAGCAGTTATGAAAATGTACTAGTTTTCTGGATAGAATATTTGTAAGTCAGACCTAAAACTTTTAAGTTTTCAAATGCTTGACTTTAACAAGTCACTATCAATGGTCTTTTCTAGAAACAAAATGCTCCCCTCAGGCACTAAAAGATACTTGTTGGTAAATAGGCTACATGCCTGTTTCCCCTGATCAGAGTAACTAGACTAGAACTGGTGTGCCTGGCTCAAGCCTTATGTAAGCAGGGGGTTGTGATTAGGGTTTGTGATCAAATTCTTGATCTGAGAACATGTGGGATTCAAAGGGTGCTGTTTGGATTATCAGCAGAGAAAGCTGGTTTGCGGAGAGAAAGGGGAATGAAACCTAAGTCCGGAGCAAATAAGCCAGACTAGGCCGTGCTGCCTCAGCAGAGCAGGCTAGAGAAGAGAGAAGCCGTCATAGTTCCCAGCAGTTTCTTTTTCCCTTCTGGCTGTCGCTTAGGGCTTCCCTAAAGGGTCCGTGAGAGTCTTTGGAATCCTTCTAATAAATTCTTTTTGTTTAGATGAGTTTGAGTGGTTTCCTTTATTCACAACCAAATAGTTACAAAGACTAATTCAGTAATCCTGATAACTTGTTGAAACACATTACATTAGAGTCAGGCAATTGGGGTTATAGCAATGAGCAAAATAGACAAAATCCCTGTTTTCTTGGAACTATTATTCTACTTGGGAGAGGTAGGTGTTCAGTAGACAAGTACAATATATTGTGGGTCAGATGGTGGTAAATGATCTAGAGAAAAATCGATGGGAAATGATACATGTGTTGGGGGTGAGTAGGTGGGTTGCAGTTTTAAACAGAGAAGTGAAGAGAGGCATCGTTGCTGTGGCAATTGAGCAAAGGCCTTAAGGAAATGGAGAGACCCTTAGTGACATTTAGGGGACCGGGTGGAAAAATCCTGTGGCAGAAGCATGGCTGGTGAGTTCAGAATAGTAGGGTGCTGGTTTAACTGACATGAAGCAAGGGAAAGGAGTTGTAAGGCAGTCATCAGGAATGAGGTGGTATGTTTAGGCAGCTCTTTGAGGCAGTTTTACCATTAAGTGGAATAGAAAAACTGGGAATGGCTGGAGGATATGGGGTCAAGGCAGTTTTCTAAAAAAATTAATGACGTATAATTGGTATGCTATAAATTGTACATTTTAAAAGTTCCGTCTTGCGTGTTTTGACGTGTACACCCATAAGACCATCCCTGCAAGCAAGATAATGAGTATGTGTTGCCCTCAAAAATCTCCTCCTGCCCTTCTGCAAACCCTAGTTAGATCCCACCTACTCGGACAACCACTGCTCTACTCTCTGCCACTATAGGTTCATAGATAGGTTTGCGTTTGGTATAGTTTTCCACAAGTGCAATCATATAGAATTCAGGTTGAGGGGGGCTGGCTTTCACTTAGCCTAACTTTTGTGATTCACAATTCATTTGAGATTTAAACTGGAAAAAAATACAGAATGTATGCGGATGTAGATTCCTGCAGACAGAAAAACTGGTGATCAAGGAAAGAGGCAGACCAATTGCTGGGGCAGTGTTTTTGGGAGGGACTTGTGGTCAAGGGCCCAAATGGAAGGATTGGCTTAGATAAGAGAATGAACGGTTCAGGCATGGTTCAAGAAGAAAGAGAATATATGGCCACAGATGGAATTATGTGTGTAGATGTGGTGGTCAGGGTTTGTGGAAGTTCTCTACTGGGTACCTTTGGAAACAAGATAACCAATTAAAACAGTTTGGAGGAGGAAGTTAGAGGTGTTGGAAGTTCGAGGAGAGAATAAGACATGAAATACTCCTAGAAAGGTCCAGAGCTCAGAGGGAGCCACCTGCCTAGAGTTGAATCTTGGCTCAGCCACTCACTAGCTATGTGGCTTTAGGCACATTATTTTACCGTTTTGTATTTACTTTATCTGTTCATCAGGCAACATCACAGTGAGTGGTTGTGAGAATTACGTAAAAGTGCCTGGAATATTTCTGCTAGCTATTATTATTTTGGGGAGAATGAGTGGACTAGAGAATTAAGTAGGATTGCCAGCAGTACTAAGGGCCTATGTGAAGTTAGTGTCACGGATTTGAAGCGAGATTTGAAGCATGATTGTGTTTCTCTCTATTCATATTTGACTAATAGGATGTAGATGTGCGGTGCCCTGAGACACAGACTTAACCAGCATTGGAGTTTTCATTGGTGAATGCAAAATAATAGAGAAAGGGATAATGTAGCTTTTGAGATTTATGTCGTATAGTTACAATGGACCATGAATGCAAAGTGGGTAAGGAAGCGATGAGGGTGTAGGGACCTTGAAAACATAACTGGGTCACTGGGCTGTTGGTTTCTGTGGAGTTGAAGAGTTACAGTTTGTGTGCTGGAGGTAGTGAGATAGACACATGGAAGGTGCTGGTCAAAGAGCCAAGAATTATGACAGGAGGAACGTTGGAGAAAGTGATAGCCAGGAACTAGAATGTTCAAGAAATGGTGGGGAGTGACCATTGATCTTTGATGACCAACAAGGCGGAGGATTAGGTCTGCAGTCACATGACGTGAAAGTCAAAGGTGAGGTTTTCTTGGGGAGTCGTGAGGGAGAAGGATCTGGAAACAGCACTGAGTATCACCCACCCACCTGTGAGGGCTGCTGCATGAGGGGTCTGGGAATATGAGTAGCACTTGGGCAAACTGTAAAGGAAGCTTGCTGACAGTAACACACAAGAAGCTGGCCTTACCCTCACTTCTGCTTTCCACATCAGGTGTGAATATATCTAACTGGTGGAACTCAATTTTTCATCCAGAGCCCTGTTTACAAAGAAATCTGGGAAACATGGTTTTTAACTTTCCAGCTCTGTAGTTCTGAAGGCATCTAGAAGGGAATGGAGGAGGATGGAGATGTTCTACACATCTTTAAGTATACAGGTATGCCCTCACTTCTAAACAAATAGA